CACCACCACCACCACCACCGTTCGCGTCCGCACCGCCGGATACTGCAGCGACGTTACTACCACTCGCAGGAATACCGATCGAGTCACCGCGCCACAGCGTTCGACGTTTCCCGGTCTCGATCTGTCCTCTGTCACCGATCACGCCGACGTCTTTGCTAGGTGTGCCGATCTCCTCGCTGAAGTAACTGGTCGGATCGCTCCAGCTGCGCCTCAGCTGCACTACACCGGTGGAGGAGGAGCTGGTGCTGCTGTTGCTGCTGTTCCCGCTCACGTCTTTCTGCCGATGGGTTCGGGGATTGTCGCCGTTGAAAAGCCTCTCCATACTTTGCTCCTGACAGCCGAGACTCGGCCGGGACGACAAGAATAGCGGCATCTGCGTGAAGTGGGTAGGACAGAACTCGGTGGACGGTGATGGGGTCAAAAAGGGCGAGTAACAGTTCTGATCCACGTCCCATATGAGAGCCGCGGGATCGCAATATCGACACTGACACGGCCCTAATTCATCCTTGTTGATCCCGTCCTCGCAGCCTGTCGTCGTCGTCGTCGTCGTTGTCGTGGTTGTCGTTGTCGTCGTCGTCGTCGACGGGTCGTTGTACTCGTGCAGGTAGCGCAGAACGTTACCGCCACCGACGTGACTATGGTTGTGATGGTGATGGTGATGGTGATGGCCGTTGTGTCTGTAACCCTTTGGCAGTATGGCGCGCATTTGCACCGGCACCACGACGTTCCTGTTGTCGTCCAACACTTTCACTTCCACGTGCCGATGCGGATACCTATGCCTCGCGTCAGGTATCTCTTGCACCGACATGCTCGTTGTCCTTTCCCTCGCTATTGGTGGCCTTCTATGGTTTCGAAGGTGAGGCGGCGGCGGCGGCGGCAACGGTGGCGCGACTTCGTAACGTTGCTCGTAACAGGCCGTGGGTTTTAAAGAAACCACCATCACCGGGTTCGATTGTTCGTTGTTAACGACACCCGAGGCACTCGACTGTTGCTGTTGTTCCTCGTGTTTCGTCACCTCGGCGGAAGCCACCGTCGTCGCATTGTTCGGCGGTTTCCTGTCCTTCTTTCGACGCTTCCGAGGCTTGATGATACGCGGCAGACTGTTCTCCGAATTGTTCGATCCTGAACTTTCGTCGCTCGCGATGCTCAACGAGTCGATGTTCGCGATGTTGTTCCCCGTGTTGGCGACTTCCTTCGTCGTCGAACAATCGGGCGATTTCGAGTTGGCTTGCTGCTTCTTCGCCAGCTCGATCGGCCTCTGCGGCCGCGACGGTGGACACCTCATCGACGTGTTGTTGTTCATCGCGCAGTTCGACGCCACGGCAGCAGTCAGCCCATTCGCAACGTAACTATTAATCGTTCCTGTATTGCTGCACGCAGCAACGCCATTAGCGTTTCCGCTGTTGTGCGTCTTGCCGCGATTGTGAAACCGATTGGCTAGAATCAACGGCGCTCCTTGCGTGTGAATAGCCAATCTAGAAAGCGGATTCTTGTGTA